TAGAAAGGACCAGCAGAGTCAAACATTTATTCATTAAAAAGTCTATTAAAGGGTCACCTGAGTGGCCCAGTCAGTTAGCTGTCCTACTCTTTGTTTCGGCTCAGGTCATGATCTCACGGTTTGTGGGGTTCAAGCCCCACACTGGGCTCTGTGCTGACAGTGTGGAACCTGCTTGGGGTTATCTCTCCCCCTCTCTCTGCCCCTTCCCTGTTTGTTCTCTTTCTCTCTCTCTCTCAAAAATAAACATAAAAAAAAAGTCTGTTAAAAAGCAAACCTCTCACAAGACTTCAACAGAAAGAAAAAAAAAGACGAAAGTTGAATATTATTAGAAATTCATGCTTCCATTCAACCAAGTCCTTCCCTAATGGATCTAAGGGTAGAAAGGATCATTTAAACACAACACAAAAAGCATGAAGAAAAAGACCATTAAGGCAAAAGACTGATATATTTTACTTTGTTAATTAAGAACTTCTGTTAACAAAGAAAAAGATAAGCTATAAAGTGACACACTTATTTGATTCCTGAATAAATAGGACTTTTTACAAATGACTAAGAAAAAGATGAACTGTAATAGAAAAATGGGCAAAGAATATGAATATGTAAGTCTCAGAGCACAAATTATCAACACAGGAAAAGACTTCCAATTTCTTTTTTTTAAAAAAAATTTTTTTTTCAACATTTATTTATTTTGGGGACAGAGAGAGACAGAGCATGAACGGGGGAGGGGCAGAGAGAGAGGGAGACACAGAATCGGAAACAGGCTCCAGGCTCCGAGCCATCAGCCCAGAGCCTGACGCGGGGCTCGAACTCACGGACCGCGAGATCGTGACCTGGCTGAAGTCGGACGCTTAACCGACTGCGCCACCCAGGCGCCCCAAGACTTCCAATTTCACGAGTAAACAAGGAAATGGAAATCAAAACCACAGGGAGATACCAGTTTGCAGGAATGGGGCTAGGAGAATTTTTAAAAGTCTACCAGTTCCAAATTTTGGCAAGAAAGTAAAGTCACAAGAATTTGCCTGAACTGTGAGTATAATCTGGAACAACTAACTTAACCAGGAATCTGGAACAGTCTCGAAGAGCTGAAGAAGCATGTACCCTTAAGCCCACTACTTCTACACCTGTGCATACACCTTAAAAAGACTCCCAGTGAAGGCTCGTGTATATAAGGAAACATGTATAAGAACATTCAGTCTGCATTATTCCAAACAGCAAAGTCTAGAAACAACCCACAGGTCTACCAGCAACAGAATGGATAAATTTAAGGTGTCATCACTGAATATCAAAGTGCAGAAGTACACATCTCAATAAGGGTTTAAAAAGACCAACTTGTGGAAACTGTACAATACACATATCAAACTTAAAAAAATTTTTTTGAATTAAAAAAAATTTTGAGAGAGAGCTACAAGTAGGGGAAGGGCAGAGAGAGACAGAGGACCTGAAGTGGGCTCCACGCTGTCAGCACAGAGCCCAACAAGGAGCTCGAACCCACGAACTGCAAGATCATGACCTGAGCCAAAGTCGGACACTCAACCGAGCCACCCAGGTGTCCCCATATATCAGACTTTAAAGCACGCAAAGCTAAATAACATTGCTCAGGGCTCCAGATAAATGTGGTAAAACCATGAACAACAGCGCAGGAGCTGCTGGTGGAAAATTCAAGCTAGTGGCTCTCTCTGACATTGAAGGGAGAAGGGGCAGTGACACAGGGCATACTGGACTTCCCATGTGCCCCTACGTTTTATTTCTTAAGTTGGACAGTGGGATATGGATGTCATTTCTTTTTTCTTCAAACTTTAAAAAATACCACATATTCTCTTTTGTGTATATAATGTACAGTAAGCAAAATATGCTTATTTTATTTTATTTTATTTTTTTAGTTTATTTATTTATTTTGAGAAAGAGAAACAGAGAACGAGGCAGGGAGGGACAGAGAGAGAGAGAGAAGGAGAGTGAGAATCCCAAGCAGGCTCCATGCTGTCAGCACAGAGCCCTACTTGGGGCTCCATCTCACGAACTGCAAGATCATGACCTGAGCTGAAACCAAGAGTCAGACGCTAAACTGACTGAGCCACCCAGGTGCTCCAAAATATGTTTATTTTAAGTAAAACAAGGAAATAATAACAAGTGTAGAAATAAAAGAACAACCTGTAAGAGTAATAAGTAAGGGCTGGTTCCCTGAAAAAAAAAATTCCAACAAATTTAAGAGGGAAAAAAGCAGATAAAATTGGAAACATGCAAGAGGACATCGTATAAAGTGTTAAAATTATAGACGAATCCTATGGCCAATTGTAAACAAATACGCTTCATGGCTAAAAAAAAAAGACAGTTTAAAACTAACTGGTAAAAATGTACAACTGATGTAACAGAAAGAAATCTAAACAGATTAATAAATACAAACTGTAGGAAGTTATTAACACACTACCCAAATTAAGGGATCAGGTAGTTTTATTTAGACTTACTGAGTAAACAATTTCCGGGTCACTGAAGCTATTTTGGAGAAGGGGAAAAAAGAAGTTTGAGAGCCAGATGGCTTCACCCCAATCCTGACTTGCCAGGAGACGGCAACATTAAATCTGTCCAAATGAACTAACCACACTGAGGCTTGGTTTTCTGTAAGTGCAGTTAATCATACTTCCCTCACAGGTTGTGAGGACTGAATGGGGCAGTTCATATAAATTCCCTCAGAAAACACCCAGCACAGTGATGGTCCCAGCTGCTCAAATGCCAGCTCTCTTCTCCCTCCACTAGCTCATGGCCCAGAGGGGATAAAATCTATCAGAAGCATTACAACTGAAAAGTGTCTGTTCTAAACCAATGGTAATTGGTGCAGAAATGGACAAGTTCTAGATCCAATTCCTACAAAATGAGAGATGAACCTAATACCACTCTTTCATATGGTTTCTGAAGTCATAGTCATTATCAACAGAAACAGAAATAAGAAAAACCCAAATTAAAAATGATCTAATGAACACTTTAAGAATAATATCAGAGAGTCACAGGAGGGCAATAAATACTTGGAAAGGACTACCACCTCTTGGTAGCAGCAATTTCTGGTTAAAGAACAAAAGAGAAGATGGTTCTATTCAAAAGTAAAAATATGTCTTCAATAGATAATGAGAGGAACAGCTATAAAACTTTATTGGGAAACATAAAATAACACTTCTTTCCATGTCTGACTGGCTAGCCACTGGTCATCCCCCATGAATCGGCTCCAGGTTTGGGATGTCCAGGCAATTCAGAAACACAAGGTGCTAGACCCAGAGGGTCGGGAAAGGCACCTGGGAGGGCCTGACCCATGACCACCTGGTTTTTCATATCATTACCCACACCTGACTTCTAGGCATGAAAATCCTTCATATTCCTAATCCCCTCCCACCCCTAGCAAGTACAATAAAGAACTAGTCGTAACGATGAATAAAGAATGGATGATGTTGTTAGGCCAGAGTGGTGGGACAGTGGATGAATTTCTTTTAATTCCCCACCCCCTTTTATTTTGCTAGAACACTGCTTATACAATACAGAATGAAATATTAAAAATGCCTTAGCTTGGTTATAACAGAACATACAAATTCAGAATGCTACTGGAGTAACTTAGAAGATTTTTTTTTTTTTTAGACAACTGAGTTTTAGAGCTAAGACATTTAAATTCTATAATAGACTGGGTCCTAGACATTTCAGGTGTAGTTATTTAGTGTAGGCTATAAATCCCTGCCTTTTTTGCTGGGTGATAAATCAGTAACAAAGGCTTAAAAAAAAAAAAATTTTCCAGGGGCTCTTGGGTGGCTCAGTCAGTTAAGCATCTCAACTTTAGCTCAGGTCATGATCTCATGGTTGGTGGGATCGAGCCCTGTGTCAGGCTCTGCACTGGCAGTACGGAGCCTGCTTGGGATTCTGTCTCCCTCTCTCTCTCTGCCCCTCCCCAACTTGCACTGTCTCTGTCTCTCTGAAAATAAACTTAAAAAAATTTATTTTTATTACTGAAGTTTATTAGAGAGAAAGACAGACCACGAGTGGGGGAAGGACAGAGAAAGAGGGAGACACAGAATCCCAAGCAGGCTCCAGGATCTGAGCTGTCAGCATAGAGCCCGACGCAGGGCCTGAACTCACGAACCGCGAGATCATGACCTGAGCCGAAGTTGGACGCTTAACCGCTTGAGCCACCCAGGCACCCCCCAAAAAATAAAATAAAAATAAAAATAAAAATAAAAATAAAAATAAAAATAAAAATAAAAATAATAAAAATAAAATAAATAAGAACATTTTCCAGCCTATAAAATGCTAGCTAAAAGTGAAATGTCGTAACGTCTTGGATAAGGCAATATGCTCTCTAGAATATTCAGGAGCAAGGAGAGGCACCCCTGTTCCTGCTCTTAAGCTACCAGACCCAAAGGGCTCCTTAAGACAAGCAGAAACCACTTAATTGTCATGTTCTCTGTATCCAAAGGCTACAAGTCTATGCCACCTATTAAGTGCCAAGTGAGTGATATAAGCCCGGCTTCACTCTCATGGTGCTTACGACCCAGTGTGGTGCTGGCAAAAGGCAGAGAATAATTAAACACTGGTTGAATATATGTGCACATGGGTGCACAGATATGAAGGCAGTGGAAGAAGTGTGCAATGGTTAGCTAGAAGAGCTGCCTCAGAAGGCAGGTGGTTAACTGGCCCATATGACCAGAAGATGCCCTGCTGCGTGTAACCGTCACTGGAGAAATGTCGGTGAGCAGACTTCACCATTCGATGCTAAACGAGACAAAAGGACACGTGAGTGTGTCATGCGGGGAGCTGCCCAGATTACAATGGACACTTTTTCCAAACTGGAGGCTATTGATCTATGCCAAATAGGGAGAGAAGAAAACTCACAGATGGGAGGGTCCATGTGCCCACAGGGCAACAAGATGCTGAGGTGAACAAGAAGGGAAAAGATGTTGCTTCTCAGTCCACAGGCCTGGAATATTTGCTGAGTTCCTCCTGAAGCCCCCCACGTGCATGGTTCTTACCAAGACAGAAGCCTGCCGAGGTGTCCTCCAGCATCCACTCTTCTCCTTTTCCCAGCTGGGACAACACATCTGGTTGGGGTCCTAAGAGTCCTGTTTTTGAGGGGAAAAAGAGACCACGTCTGTTCATACCAGCGATAATATCATTGCAAGGAGATCTGGTCCTGGGGACTTCCTGGAAAAGGTGACCCAATAGGAAGGCCAGGGGACAGATGAATTCCCAGGAGGAAGAAAAGATGGCTGGGGCCCAACACAATCTGGTCCCATGTCCTTCTCCCTGTTGAAAGGGAGAGAGGATTCAACCTAGTCACCTTTGAAGCATCTGCACTTAGACTCCAACAAAACAGTCATGTACCTGGGACACCAGGGGTAGGCATGCAGTGCCCTGAAGATAACATCCTCAATCAGCCCACTCCCAGTCCAGTGTTCTGGATGGAACCAGTTTAAGAGTTTATAAGGGTCTGCAAGAGATCTCTAAATGTGAAGATAAGCCTTCGGAGGCCCCTGCTTACCCAGCGAGACCAGGTTGCTGTAGTTCTCCAGCATCACATCCCTGTACAGGGCCCTCTGAGAGGGGCTCAGCTGTGCCCACTCGTCCTGGGTGAAGAGCACGACCACGTCCTTGAAGGTCACTGATTCCTGTAACAGCAAACCCATCCCTGGTGACCTGCGGCTACCCCTCCCATGGCTCTCTGAGAAATGCTGAGCCTGGCAGGCCCCAGGAGCTGGCTGAGGTCTGCAGGACCGTTAGCATAGAGCAGGCTGGGGCTCTGTGACAACATGAGGATTTCCTCAGGGGCTCCTAGGGGCCGGGCTTTTACCAGACTTTGTTTCCTGCTTTGCAGAAATGTGTACTGTGAAGAAGATATGCTTCTATGCTTCCTCAGCACGGAGACTTCAGACTTGCTGTTCCCTTTTTTTTTAAAATAAAGTTCTAAAGTTTATTTTTGTGAGAGTGAGAGTACATGCACAAGTGGGGGGAGGGGCAGAGAGAGAGAGAGAAAGACAGAGCACAAGCAGGGCAGGGGAGGAGGGAGGGGGGGGGGGGAGGGAGGGAGAGGAAAAGAGAGGGGGAGAAGAGAGAGAGAGAGAGAGAGAGAGAGAGAGAGAGAGAACCAAAGCAGGCTCCAGGCTCCAAGCTGTAGGTGCAGAGCCCAATGTGGGGCTCAAGCTCACAAATCGTGAGATCATGACCTGAGCTGAAGTCAGGACACTCAGCTGACTGAACCACCCAGGCACCCTCTTGCTGTCCCTTTTGACATGAACATTTTCTCCCATCTCCCTCAATTTGCCCAGCCCTGCCTCCACCCCTACCACACGACCAAATCCTATTCAGGCTCAGCCTCCACAATACTTCCTGGGCATGGCCTTCTTCAACCCCTTTATCACTGGTGCAGGCACAGCAAAGCACTGTCCTGCTTTATTGTGAGTTTTCATTTACTTTCGGCTTCCCCCGCTGGACTGTTCGCTCCGAGCAGCTATGGACAATTTCCACATCTCTCTTGTCTTCCTGGCATGTCTTCTAGAACACAGCCCATGTACCCAGCCCCTATTATACGTTGCTTAGCCAACACCTGCTTGTCTTCAGCTGCTCACCCCCAGGCACATACATGGTTCCCATAGAAACAGTCATTCTGGACAAGGTGACCCTGTCCCCTCTGATCACAAAGAGCGCCTTCCTTAGAAACTGTTGGCTGAGAAGCCAAGAGAGAGCTGGTGTGCACTGAGAAAGAGTTACACAGAAGCCCTGAGAAGAAAGCCAAGGGTCCCAGAGAAAGGACTTTTTGATTAGTGTAGACCCTACCTCCATAGCCTAATAAGTCCAGTCGTTTCCTTGCATGTGGAGAAATACTTGGGAGAAATCCCAGTATCCTTCCAGTACAGGCCTGCTTTTGCTTAAGGTAGTCTGACTTCGGTTTTCATTACCTGTACCCAGAGCTTTGCACACCTGTTGGATTGAACCCATGAACCAACTTGTCAGGGACCACTGTGTACTTTTTCATCACTGTCATAATAACATAATACCCAGCACATTTTACATTCCTAATATAGGTCTACTGAATGACAACCAAATTAAGGCTGCCTATAAATACGAAATAAATTGTGTGACACCAACAATGCATTTGAGGAAAGGGTCAGGGAAGGGAATTATCATAGTGGATTGGCACCACAGAGATAGGCTTCAAGAAAAAAGTGGTACCAGAGACGGGGTGCTAAGGGACAGGTCAAACCAGAAGGAGCAGGGTGAACAGCCAGTGAGCCATGATGGGACTGAACACAGCACCTTCAACCAGCTGCTCACCTCTTCCAGTGTTTTCTGCCAAGGATTCCAGCTCCGGACAGGCTTAAACATGTGAGGCAATTAGAATGATTTTACCAAAGTCAACAGATTTTATACATTCAAATGAAGGTTATCTCCTTCAAAGTGGTAGAGTCCATATCCTTGTTCTAAGAAGGCTGGCCGTGCTCTAAGTGTTTTCGTAACTTACTGAAATTGAAAATGTATCTTTTGAATGACTTCATAAAAAACGTATGTCATTAAAAAAGAAAAGAGTAAGTCCCTTCCCCGAGAAAGTCTTCTAATTTCTCTCTTCACTCAACTCCTGTGTTAGGTACTACCTTTAAAACCACTTTGGACCCCGGGGAGCCTGGGTGGCTCAGTGGGTTAAGTGTCTGACTCTTGGTTTTGGCTCACGTGATGATTTCACAGTTTGTGGGCTTGAGCCCCACATCTGGCTCTGCACTGACAGTGTGGAGCCTATTTGGGATTTCTCTCCCTCTCTCTCTGCCCCTCCCTGGCTTGCTCTCTCTCAAAAAATAAATAAACATAAAAAAAAAACAAAAAACATTTGGACCCCTACTCTTCCTTGCTAGTGTAAAGAGTACAGATTACAGGGTGTGTCATTAATGTGAACTTGAACAAGTGACTTAGCTCCCTCACCCATTTGGATGAGCCCAACATGGGGGCCAGGGAAAAAAGGGCAACAGGGTCAGGCCTCCATCTGAGACTGGATTAAGAGAAAAGGTCCTGGTCAGGGTAAAAAAAAAAAACAAACCAACAAACAAAAAACAAACCCATACTCTTCAAACCTCTACATTAAAAACTTTTAAGGGGTGCCTGGGTGGCTCAGTCGGTTGAGCGTCCGACTTCAGCTCAGGTCATGATCTCACAGTTTGTGAGTTTGAGCCCCACGTTGGGCTCTGTGCTGACAGCTCAGAGCCTGGAGCCTGCTTGGGATTCTGTGTCTCCCTCTCTCTCTGCCCCTTCCCTGCTCATGCTCTGTCTCTCTCTGTCTCAAAAATAAATAAACATTTAAAAAAATTAAAAAAAAAAAACTTTTAAGGCAATTCGGGGGGGGGGGGGGGCAACCCCAGAGCAACTCCCCACTCACCTGGACCATGGTTGGCAGGCGCCTGACAGCCATTCCTTCTCTGAGAAGCCCTTTTAGGGACTGGCAGAGTGGGACTTAAGCGAGAAATTTCTACACACCTGTTATGAGGAAAACTGGGTTAAAAGAGATCACACCGCAGTCCTGAGTGAGGCTGGGAGCATTCACATCCTAGGAATTCTGTTACCCTGAAGCAGTAGATTCTTAGTCTCTATTAGCTCCTAATTCTCTCCTTCTGAGGATACTTCTGCTGGCCTCTGCTGCAAAGGGAATCCCTTCCCATGCAGCCATTACCCACCCCCCCCCCCCCACGCCTTCCGTCAGCATCCGGATCAAATCCTCCACATTTTCCCTCCCGTATCTTAAATACATTGACTGTTCCCTGCAGAAAGCACCCGTCACCCTCCAGATTTCAATCTTTCTACCCACCCTCTGGCCTTCGCCCTGAGAGGTCTCAACAGAAGTTTCTCTCCTGCCCGGAAGGTTGCCTAATCCTGGGAGGGGAGTGAAGGATTGCCGCAAAAGGCAAGGTAAGAAGGCTGGATCTCCATTGTCAAGGCCTCTCAGGCCAAGTCCTTCTCTCTGACCTCAGGCCTCTCCCCTTCAGGGACCCAGTCTGGGTGACAAAGAGCCAAAGGTGGGCGAGAAGCAGTGTATTTGTGTGGCGGGGGGGGGGGGGGGGAAGGGGGGGGGGGGGGTAGGCGGCTAGGAATCTCTTTCATACAACCCACCCTCTAGCTCCCAAGGAGCCGCTGCTGCGGCTGCCCCGGCCTCGGAGAGTTCGCAGACAGGTCTCCGAAACACCCTGGGGACATCCACCCCTGCAGGTAGAATGGGCTTCCTGGAGTCGGTTCCGAGACCCACGCAGAGGCCCTAACTGCATCCTCCTGTACGTGCACTTGCAGACTCGGACTCTAAAACCAAGAGCCCACACCTGGCCATCCTCCCTTTTCCTCTTAGGATCAAACCTCAGCCGTACGTCCCGGTAAGTTTAGGGCACCAGATCGGCGTCCTCCAGAAGGGGCTACGACCCGTACCTACTCGGCCTTCCCTCCGCCCTTTCCCCCCGGCCCCGAACACCGCCATCTCCCTCCCCCCACCCGCCCCCAGCCGCGCCCGCTCTCCGACGCGGCTTTGGCCACCGTGCCTGGTCACCACCGGATTGCCCTTTGAAGAGCCACTGCCCGTGGCGAGAAACCGCAACCGCCACATCGCAGGCGGAACACAATGAGCTGGAGTTGGCAGCCCGGGTCGGAACTGCGCTTGCGCGTTGCCCGGGAAGCTGCGGAGCCGAACACCCGCAAGTCAGAGGGCTGCTACCTTCTGGCTTCCCAGACTCCACTTCCCAGAGGGCGAAGCGGCGGCCAGCGCAGAAAGTGATATTGCGCGCTTGCGCAGACACGGCCTCGCCCATCAACACCACGACTGGCCGCTTTCAGTGCTGAAACTACATTTCCCAGGGGCCACGGCGGGGGCGTCACGGTTCCTTAGCGCAGCTATTCCCTGTGCTCTACCCTGCTCGTGCGACTTTCGTTCTGTTCTAGTCAGCGTCCGCTTCAGCTCTGAAATAACGCGCTGGAACGTAAAGACAGCGAGAAGTTGACGACGGGCTAAAGTAGGTCGGTCGCGGGGAGAGGATCGGGGACGGTCCCCAAGGATGGAGTAGGAGGTGAGGAGCCGCAAAGTCGCCCTCCTGGAGGAGGACCGCGCGGAGACGACTTGAAGAGGCGGCGGGACTGCGCCCCAGGGACCGGGCCGGGGCGCGGTAGGGGCGGCAGGCGGGATGCGGGGCCGGCTGCCTTGGACGGTGGCTGGGACCCGGGCGGTAGCGCGGGAGAAACGCCGAGGAGGTAGAGCCGACCTGGGTGTCAGCGATTCGTCGGGGAAGGAAGGAGCCAGAGGCCGAGGAGACGGTGTCGGACGCCGGGGTGGGGGTTATGTCTGTGGGGGCGGGCAGGGATGAGGTGATGGATAGAAAATCCCATTGCAGATATTTCGTTGCCTTTGAATACGCTTTTCCACCGAGCTCGGGATGGAAAGAGGAGGTTTTAACGTTGTCGGTGGTGACTTAAACGGCGCCAAAAATGTGACCTGGGGTTTGTCATTTGGGAAACTGTCGGCCACCTCTTAGGAAGCAGTGTCAGTGACTTGTGTGACACCACAGGATCTTGTTTGGGGCTTTATGGAAGGTTCCATCCTCTTGACACTTCTGGAGCACTTGTGCGTCAGGCACTGTTCTAGGGGCTGGGGAAAGAGCAGCGAAAACCTGCACTTAACGCAGGTTGGAGTCGAGAGGAAGTAGTCAATAAAACATAGAAAAATACTTACCAGGTAGTGACGACGCAGTGAACCTGTGGCAGTGGGGTGGGGACTGGGATTATTTTAAGTAGTGTCTTGGGAAATTCTCTTTGAGGAAGTAACATTTGAGCAGAGATGTGAATACCGCGAGAGAGGAAACCATGTGACTATCTGGGGAAGAGCCATCCAAGGGGGAGGGGACAGCGATGTCCAGAGACAGAAGTGTGCTTGGTGGGCCTGAGGCTTTGCAAGGCTAACGGGACTGGAGAGGGCGTAGAGTGAACAAGGGAGAGTTGGAGAGGTAGTTTGAAGGGTACTAGAGACCTTGAAGTCCATCCAAGACCTTTGGATTTGTTCTATGTGTGATGGGAAGCCATTGAAGGAGTCTGTGCAAGAGTGATGTGGCTGAGCACATTTTGAAAGAATCTCTGGTCAGCTGTAGGGAGAAAAGACTGTGGTGAGGCTAGAACGCAAATACAGGGAAACTAGTTAGGAGGCTGTTACAACCGACCCAGGGAGGGACAGCCTCCCACAGTTATATAATCTTTCTACAAGGCATTTGTTTTGAGTCTTGTGATTCTAAGATAATTTTCTCGATGCCATGCTAAGGAGTCTGAATGTTATTTTGTTTTCAGGATATGAGGATGATAATAATAGATTTATTGAGAACTATGTTCTCAATATGTTGGGCACTTTACATCAGTATCTAATGTAATCCAAAGCTATGGAGTTTGCACTACTAGCAAATGAGTGAAGCATGGAGATGTTAAGTGTCTTGCCCAAGCTCTCATGCCCAGTAAGTGGAACCGGGAGTCCTGCCCCTGATGATAGAGGAGAGGACCAAAGGCTGTCCTCCTTACTGGCTGCCCAGCATGACTGAGGGCCTAAGACTTCCAAAACTCCTGAAAACGTAGCGAGACCTCCATTTGGCTGACCCATTTCTCCAGGTGCTTCCTCTAAAAGTTAATATTTTACCACGTTTTGAACTAGTGCATCCATCTTAGGTTTCAATACACTTCATTTTTCCTCTCCCCCTTGTCCCGTGCCTCCTTCTGACCCTTTGTTTTGCTGCTGTCTTTATCATTTTCATCTATTTTCTACTCATCTCTTCTCTGCCTCCTTTAGAAAAAGAAATAAGTGAAGGGAAAAGGAGGAAACTAAGTGTAAGGGACAAATATTAAAGATCTGAGTTTCAGAGGATACAGGTTAGTGTTTCAGTCCCCCTTTGTCTTTGTTCTAAGAGTTAGACTGTAGAGGTCACATAGCCCAAAGAGACTGAACTGCCCAAGGATTCAGCATCCATAGCGAACCTCCTCCATTGTCACCCACAAACATCTTCTGCACCCATCATTTCTTGATTCCCACCTCTCCCAGTGAAAAGTTTCCTTCCTTTTGAAAAAGGTTGAAAAACATTTCTATAGCTTCTACCTCTGCCTCCATCTTGTTTTCCCACTTTGAGCTGCCCATTCCCTCCTTTCTGCACCTTTGACTCTCCCATACCTCTTCTTTTCAGTGATCATGTAAACCCACTCTTGGCAGACTGTTCATTGGCTAAATCAACACTTTTCTCCAACCTCCTTTTCTTTGCCTACCTCCACTTTGGAGGCTGGAAGAGTATTTTCTCAGCCTCCTTTGCGACTGGCCTCCATATAACACAGCTGTGGTCAATGAAATGTAAGCCGAAGTCTGCTGAGGGGCTTCTGGGAAAACCTGACAAAAGGCACAGATGTTGCTGGTGCTTCCCATACCCTTTCTTCCTGCCTTGAATGCAGATGTTTTACTTGAAGCAGAACAGCCATCATATAACCCTGATGGAAAAGCCATGAAACTCAAGGCATTGAATTAATTTTGTCTTTGAAACAATGCCAGCCTACTTCCAGATTTGTTATGTGAGGAAAAAAAAAATCCCTGTTTGCTTGTAAGGATTGTTAACTGGGCTTTCTAGTATTTGTAGCCAAAAAGCTCTTCTGATAGATATACTCTCTCAACCCAATCTCCCTCTAGTTATCTTTCTAAATGTCTTTCTCAGTCAAGATACTAAGTCCTTTTCACTCTCCAGCCTACTAATATTTAACAGGTTATCAATAACCAAAGCCAAAGGTCGTTTTCTATTTTTACCTTACTTTAACCCCCCCAAAGCATTTGAAAATATTAACTATTCTTACCCTACACAAAATTCTTTTACTTCTGTGCCACCATCTTCTAATTTTTCCTTCTGTTTTTCATTTTTCTTTTGGCTGTTGTTTCCTCTTATCTCCTACTGGTTCTACTTCCTCCACTTACCCTGTTTGATGACAGTATGCTCAGAGTATCCTTCATCACCACCCTGCTAGTTATTTTAGTCTGTCAGGATCTTCACTTGGATACCTACAGATTGTTTAAAATCCCCCAGACTGAACTTATCACTGACCCACAGAATCAGTCAACTTTATGTGTTCTTAATTATGGCACTACATCCACCCAAATAAATTCAAGTTCCTACATTCCATCAATTACCACATTATCCAGATTCTGCCTCCTTATTGCTTGAATTCTTCCTTTCCTCTCCTCCACTGCGAATTTCTTAGTTTAGCCCTTGAAAAGCAAAGAACATACCTTCCCCAGTCTGATTTCCTGATCATGTCTATCACATATCTAGCACTTATTGTGTATGAAATAAATGAAATTGTCCTAACTGCTGTCATCACTGTAGATCTATAAAACCTATGACTGGGGCGCCTGGGTGGCGCAGTCGGTTAAGCGTCCGACTTCAGCCAGGTCACGATCTCGCGGTCCGTGGGTTCGAGCCCCGCGTCAGGCTCTGGGCTGATGGCTCAGAGCCTGGAGCCTGTTTCCGATTCTGTGTCTCCCTCTCTCTCTGCCCCTCCCCCGTTCATGCTCTGTCTCTCTCTGTCCCAAAAATAAATTAAAAAAAAAAAAAAGTTGAAAAAAAAACCTATGACTGTTCTGAATATGTTTTGAGTTGTAAAGATTTCATTACTATGTCAAATTTTCATGTCTATTAGTGTTTAGCATCCTTTCCTTTCCAATTTGATAGACTATGATACAAAGATATGTATTTGAGTCCTATGTACTTAGAGACTATATTTAAGTTACACTGTTTTGTAATTAGCTTATTTAACAGTAGTTTAATGACTTAATTGAGAACTCAAAACAGCATGCTATGGCATTAAGATCTGTACAGTTATTTCATCACCCAGTAGCAATCAACCTATGTTTTAGGGAGAAAATAACAGTGGGGGGTGGGGGTGGGGAAATGGAGGGATAATAATAGCATTTGGTAGAGGTAGAGACTTTTGACTCAAAACATCCAGGGAAACCAGATTGCATATTAGGAGCATCTAGATAACATATATAACATGGTAAAAGGTCAAGGATTTCCCAATATTGGTTATATTTATAGCATTTTAGAACTAATCAGGATTCTGGAGACCTTCTAAATTCAAAATCCCTCATTTACCAAATAAGGACACCATGACCTGGTGAAAGTAGGTGACTTGTCCAAGTTAGTGGCAGATGAGGACTACATACCAGGTCTTTGAGCTGTCCAGTTAAGCACTCTCACATTTTCTCTCCAGTGTGAAGTCTCTGATGTCCAAAGGAGATCTGCAGTATGACACAATAGAACTTATCTTCAACACAAATCCTCGTTTAGAACATGAGCTATTTAAACCTTCTGATGTAAAGGAGGAAGTTTTACTTTCTGAATTAAGATTTTTCTATTTTATATGGTTTTTCCTGCAGTGGTCTGTATTA